GATGAGTGTAATGTCGGAGTGAGCTTATATCTTTAATAATTCCATTAGTTTACTAGATATTTGTTAAGTTTCACGATAATTTCTTAATTATTGACATTTTTAAAGATATAAGCTCATCCCGATGTTACACTCATCGAGACCTTTCATTTGAGTACCCACATGCATTTTTGATATATTTTTCATATATACATATATATAATATACATAAATATATGAAGAATTGATGTGGGTACTCAAATGAAAGGTCTTAATGAGTGTAACATCAGGATGAGCTTATATCTTTAAAAATGTCAATAGTTTACACAATTTTTCGTATTCTATTAATAATATAGATAATTGAATAAAATATTCAATACTAAAAATAAAATCATTTTTTTTAGTAGTACTTAATTTAAAATATAAAATAAAACATTAATAATTAAAAAAAAATTTTTTTATTTTACAGATATAGTCCAGAAGAATTACACGCAATGGTGGATTTAAAACCAGAAAAAAAGGAAGAAGACTGAAGAAGATTTTCGTCCAAATAAATGAAAATTCAAGTATAAAATACAAATGAAAGTTTTTTCGTGCTATCGTGATAAGCGAACGTAACAATTAAATATATCAATTATATTTATTAAGTAAAAAGTTAAATAAAAAAAAAAAAAAAAAAAAAAAAAAAAAAACAGTAAATACGTACCGCCATCAATCGATTTGAGCATCGATGACCGGCAAATATTCTAAAGTCACTAAAATAAAACTATTTTACAAATCTGTTATGTTTTTGAATGATAAATATAATTTTCTTATTTAAACATAAAGTGACAAAGGACACAGTTTTTAATTTATAAATTTCAATTTTATTTAAATTGAATTTGTTGATAACAACTAATAAATATTTTGAGTATTTAGAAATATTTATAAGTACTAAAATCGGTCATTCGTACCAAAGAAACAGGGTCCGTTATAAATAACCATTGGTGCCTAAAAAAGTAAAATAAAAAATGCGAGAATGTGAAGTTAAAAAAAAAGTAAAAAATAATTAAAGAGAAAATTATTTTCTCTTAGCAATTAAATATGTTTATTTTATAAATATAACATGAATTATTGTAATGTTATGTTTAAAATTATCAAAGAAAAAATTACGATTAAAGATTTGTAAAAAAAAAAATTAAATTGCAAGTTACAATTGGAAAGAAAGTGAAAAAAAAATACTAAAAATATCATTATTATTATTATAATTACTTTGAATTAATTATAAATTTGAAAATATTTTTTGTAATAAATAATTATAATTATTTATAAGTTACTAATAGTAATTATATAAATTCGATATAAAAAGTGATTTAATTTCATTTATACTGGAAATTTTTTTAGAGATTATATTTAGTAGATATAAATAATAAATATATATGTTAAAAAAAAAAATAAAACAAAGTTAATTAAATGGAGAAGTTAATAATAGCAATTATAAAATTTAAGATAGGTAAAATAAAATTAATGCCACTCGACAATTTATATATATCTACATATATATTATATATATAAATATATGTATACTTTTAAATGTTACATAATTTTTAAGTAACACAATATTTAGCATTGTGATGAATTTTTCAATTGATTTTTCATTGACAATAACTAATGAGTTAATTAATATGTATACAATGCGTTTAAATTATTTATATTATTATATATATGTTTATATATATAATTTTATTTATATATATATACATATTTGATATTATAATGATTATTATTATTTTTATAACATGTGTGTTATATCTCGTTGATAAATTACACGATATGTGATTGTTATTACTCTAATTTTACTACAATAAAATTCATTATACACAATTATTGTTTTTTTTTTTCAAAGAATTTTTATTTTTTCCTATTATAAAATAAAAAAAAAATAATAATTTTTATTAAAATGCAATAAAAATTAATTTAGCAAGCATTTAATAATTTTTACAATTATTATAAAAAATGAGAAATGCAATTTTTTAAAAATAATTCTTTAGATAAAATTTGTTTTTTAAAAAAAAATTAAAAACTTTAATTTAACTAAAATGCACTATAAAAATTAATGATACTATAGTTAGCCGACGTTTTCAATTTTTTGATTTTTTTTCAATAATTAAATTAGAACAAAAAAATATTTTTAAAAAATTGCACTTACAGATTTTAACAAATGACAATTTTTTTTTTGTCATTTTTTCAATAAAAAGAATTTTTTTTATTTTTAAATGTCGGCTAACTTAAATTAATATTTTTTAATTCAATTTAAAAAATTTTACAATTCAAATTTTCCCGCACTTTTTATTTTTTAAATTTCACAATTCAAATTTTCCCGCGCTTTTTTATTTATAAATTTTACCAACAGCTGGCAATTTCTTTAATTCCTAAAAAAAGAAATAAATCAATAACAACGTGATAACATCTATAAATAAAAAAAAAAACTCATAAATTTAAAAACTTCCAATAAATAATAATAAAAAAAATAAATTACACTTTTTCACTCCCTAATTTAACACTTTTTCACCAATCTAAAAAAGGAACTCCCGTCATTTGTTATTACCATTATCACAAACCAAAACACCTCCACCATGGGCTGGCAAACCACGTGTAATTATTTCACATTATTATTTCTAACAATATAATTAAAATTAATCACTTAACTACCTTTAAATTCATTATTACAATTTTTTTTCTAACCTAATTTTATTTATTTTTTTCCTTATTATTATTATTATCAACAATCAGCCATCTTTAAAAAATGTCAGCTGTCAAACAATTTTACAACAATAAAAAAAAAAGTTAACTATTTAAACAATTAAAAAAATTCTAACAATTAAAAAAATTGTAATAATTAATTATTAAAAACCTAACCTCAAATTAAAACCTCACAAGTGTCACAATTAATAATAATTTTTTTATAAATAATTAAAGTGTCAATTTTAAATAAATTTTGCAACTAAAAATTTTTTTAATAAAAATTTTCAAGTGAATTAATTGATAATAATTAAAGAAAAAAATTATTACCTTTAAAAATTACCGCGTAGAATTAATTAAAAAAAAAAAATATACTCCAAGTAAGTAAATCTCGCCATATTGTCTAAGTGTCTATTGTACCGGTTCAGTATCAACTTAGCATTGGTATTATATATTATATTTCAAGCTTATAGCAAATAGTTGACTCCCACCAGCCATCAGTCGTCAGATTGAGACCTGCTGACCGCTGGTTAATCATCAGTCACCAAAAATCAGCCCACAAAACTATAACGTAAATAAAATTTATAAATTTATACCTGAGGAGTGATAAAAAAGTTGTGAGTTGATAAAGAATAAGCTTGAGAGTTTTAATAAAAAATAATTAATTGTAGTTAATAGTTAAAAGTGATAAAAACAATAGAATTGGATGATTAATGATTATCAATAAACTTCTAGGCCTGAGACGCATTGCAATGAGCGCTATCCAGAAACCGGAGGTGATTTTCGTGCTCGGTGGCCCCGGAGCAGGCAAAGGTACCACTTGCAAGGACATTGTCAAAAAGACCGGCTATGTTCATCTATCAGCTGGGGATCTTCTCAGAGAAGAGCAGAACAAACCCGGCTCGGAGTTTGGTGAACTTATCAAGGGTCATATTGTCGCTGGAACCATTGTACCCGTTGAAATAACCTGCAGCTTGCTGGATCGGGAAATGCAGAACTCTCCGAGCCCACACAAGCGGTTTCTTATTGATGGGTTTCCTCGCAATCAGGATAACCTTCAAGGCTGGACTAGGGTTTGTTATTTTTTATTTAATTATGAAAATTAATTTGTAAAAAACTTTGAAAATTCAAAGTGCAATTTTTAAATAATATTTTTTTGTTCTTATTAATAAAAAAAAAAACAAACTTTATTATTATAAGTATTTTAGCTGTATTCGAAAATTCTCTATTTCTAGATACATAATTAGGAAATTACCTTGTATCTTGAGAAATATTGACAATTTTAAAGATATAAGCTCATCCCGATGTTACACTCATCGAGACCTTTCATTTGAGTACCCACATCAATTTTTCATATATTATATATGTATGTATAGTCTTGATGAGTGTAACATCGGGATGAGCTTATATCTTAAAAAATGTCCATGATTAAAAAATGACCTTGGATCTTGTAAACTATTGACATTTTTAAAGATATAAGTTCATCCCGATGTTATACTCATCGAGACCTTTCATTTGAGTACCCACATCAATTTTTCATATATTTTATATATTTATATATATTATATATATATGTATATATGAAAAATATATGAAATATGCATATGGGTACTCAAATGAAAGCTCTTGATGAGTGTAAAATCGGGATGAGCTTATATCCTTAAAATAAAAAATATTTATCAGAATTATCAATTCTATAATTAATTACTATAAAAAATATCACTTTAATTGTTTTTAATAAATCTTACTAATCAAGAAAATACATATTATATTTTCTTTGTAAATATTTAGATAGATATATATATAAAAAAATTAATTTAAAAAATATTTCAAGTGTGTATAACTCTAAAAAAAACTATTGAAGTTGATAAAAATAACTTATCAAAGATATAAAATTTTTCCAACTAATTTTATTACCAACTTATCAGTGCAAGTCACAATCCATTTAAATAATTCTTATCCAGAACATATATACATTACAGAACATGACTGATAAGGCGATTGTAAAGGCAGTATTGTACCTCGAATGCAGCCAAGAAGTCTGTACACGGCGTTGCATAAACAGAGGATTAAAAGGAAGCGGAAGGAGTGACGACAATGCTGAATCGCTGGTCAAGCGACACCAAACTTTCATCAAGGACACCATGCCGATAATAAAATACTATGAAGAACGCGGGTTACTTTACAAATTTAACTCTATGAAACCTCCCAAGGTTGTCATGAAAGAAGTTTACGAAAAGTTCAAGGAAATCGGCTGGGCTACGGATTAGATTTTTAATTCTAAAGAAGAAAAAAAAATAAAACAAAAAGTATCTAGGCATTATATTTAAAGTACTTGAATTTAACTTTCTTATTATTTAATATATGCATTTTATAGAATTTTGTTTGATTCAGTTCGCTTTTTTTTAATTTTCTTTTCGTTGGAATAATTTATACACGCATTTAAGTATCAGGATTACATTCCTTAACCAAATTGAAATTCCTTTTTAAAAATAAAAGAGAATATACTTTTATATTAATAATAATACTAATAATAATAATCAGTAAAAAACTTTCAATAAAAAAAATTAATTTGAGTCAAAAAAAAAATATTTTTTTTTTAAATCAAGTTTAATTTCTTATTAAAACTTTGCGTGATATGACGTAAGTTAATTGAAAGTTTTAATACTGGCTATTAAAATACATACATGTAACGCAATTACTCATATATAAACACAAATAAAATTTTACTGGTGTTTTATTAAATTATAATCATGATTATTGAGCTAAGTTATCAATCTGGATTCAGAATTTTATTGTTAAAAATATTTAAATAAATACTCTGAATAAAAAAAAAAGATGATAATTGGATAATGTATATTTAATGAAATTTATAAATTATAGATTATTTTTGAAAACTATTCTGAGAATTCTACTTTTTTATTTAGTGTTATGTGATATGTTATTATTGATTATCTAAGTTATTTATTGAATCATGCTATTGTTTTAGGCCTGGAAGATGAGAAGAAATAAGACACCAGGAAATATGATCAGTGATATGTCTGAGTTATGTCAAGAATGATTTATTTATAAATATAATATATTTAATATTTTTTTATGAGTCAATAAGCACTATTTCTTCTGTATCAACGGATGACATAGTGAGTACCCAGAATTCAGGTATTATCATTGAAATTTATATAATTTCTTAAATTTATTAAAAAAAAAAAAATTATGTCTTTAATTACCTTTTACATTTTTTAGGTACGATTAAAAAAGAAAAAAAAGTTTTTATTTTTATGAATTTTTTAATATTTTATTGTTTATTGCAAATCAGTAAAAAATTTTATAGACAATTTTAATATTTAGATTTTTTATTCAAGACTTTTTTTTTTGTATCACTTCATATTTTTGAGTTATTAGAATTTTTTGGACTACAATATTAAATATGAGTTTTTAAAAAATTAAAATTAATAATTCAATTTTAAAAAAATATAATTAAACAATTTATAACATATATAATTATAAAAAATTAAATATTTAAAATATTAATTGTTATAACAAAGACAATTAGAACATTTCTTCTTTATACGCTTATGAGTAATTAAAAAAATTAATTTATAAAATTTTTATAATATTTATAACTTTTAATTATTTTTTTGTAATAAAATTAATGATAATATTTTATTTCTTCAGAAGAATAGATTTGATGTGTTTATAAATAGAAAACGATAATTATCCACTCAAGAGGGGAGTATTCTTCTTTGGTAAATGAAAATACACATAAAAAAAAAGTAATCTTGAAACATAAAATTGGATAACAGACGCCTAGTGCAGTGAAAAGCGCTTGCAAATGAAAAAGAAAAAGAAGAAGAAGCTTTAAGATAAATTTCTTTTAATCCGGCCGCTTATAAGTGCCCAAAGATCATACCCTTACATCCTAATAATCTTTATCTAATCTCGGAAGATAGTAATAAAACATGTCATTTAAATTATGTTAAATAACATATTAGTTATTTATCTTCCTCAAATGAGATACTAGTTTTTTATACGAGGGAAAAATTTTTGTTATCTAGTCAATTAGGTCTGTGTTGACTCTACGAGACCTAGAGGATAATAAAAATATTTTTCATTTTAACAATATTAATTATGAGTAAAAGCTTTTTAAATTACTCTATAAAGATGCAGTGGTTTCTCCCAATAAATTTTTATATCTAATTAAGGTTTGCAGATGTCTGCAATAGGGGTGTTTATATGTAGGTTACCAAACCAAGAAAGAATAAATATCATCCACTTGGGTGTTTATTACTCTGGGGAGAGAATGTATCGCTTTCTATTATGTAAAAGTGACATAATGTAAGGGGAAAATCATTTATAGAAATGAAAAATTATTTGTTTTGTGAAATTTTATGTTATCTACATATTTTAAGTTAAATTATTATTATTATTATTATTTTAATAATAATTTTTTATTTCTTCTTTAATGAAAGAAGACTATGTATTTAATTTTGTTATTTCTTCTTTGTTAAAAAAAATTTTTACAATTATTTATTTATTTATTATTATTGTTATTGTTATTATTTTATGAACTTAAAAAAAATATTCAATACTTTTAAAAAGAATTTAAATGATTAAAATTTGGAGCAAAAATTTTTTAAGTATTAAATTTTTTTTTAATTAATGATAATAATAATAAAAATTTGTTTTAATTATTATTATTATCAATTTTAGATTTTAAATTAACAATAAAATTAAAAAAAAACCTAAATAATAATAATAATAATTAATGATCTAATTTTATTTAGATTTTTTACTCTAATATTTTATGAGGTTAGATTATTGCGCCTCAATTTTAATGACAAATTTTAAGAAAATTAAAGAACTAATTATAAAAATTGAATTACAATAATGTTAGTACCATAAAACAGATTAATAATATAAATATTGATAATTAATATTAGTTAAAAAAATGAATAAAAAGAAGAAAATAAATTTCGAAGTGAGAACTATGATAAAAATGGCGGTCCAGGTGATTGTGAGTACTAATGAACGGAATATTTTAAAATTTGAGCCGCCTACAGTTAAAAAACCCAACTAAAAACTAATATCTAATATATTTTCAATAATTACAGGAATATGAAGCATAAAATACTCTAAAGAAGGTTGAGTATCTTGTCTGGGGGCCATGTGGTATTTAAAACGATATCAAATGAAGCTATATATCATACAGTTACCTAAATATAGTTTATTGCATTACCGAGTAGCAACAGAGTTTACTCATCGGACGTCAGAGCACCTCAGTTGAAATATTTTGGCAAATTTGTCGAAACAACATAATAACTATTGAAGATGATTAATGAGGGTAATTAGCGGTTGGCTAAGTACCGACAAAACTGCATACAACAACTCTATCCTCGGAGATATAGTCATTTGATAATTACTCCGGTTATTTTATCGTTATTATATTATACTTCCTCTACTTGAGGTCCTAATGTAACATGTTATTTTGGTTTGTCAACCAGAAGGACAGGAAAGAAGCTATTAGGCAGGTCCTCGGTCAGGTCGTCGGAAGACACGAGCGTGCTTGGGTGGTAAAATTATTTTTTAATTATTTATTATTTTATAAATATATATTATAAATTATAAGTGAAGAAATAATTTTTTAAATGTCAAATTTCTTCTTTAATTTTTTTTAAATAATTTTTTTTCATTAATTAAATCAGTTAATATTGAAAAAGAATTAAGTTTTAATAATATTGTTAATATTAAGTAAATAAAATTAAAAAACTTTATTTAAAAAATCAGTATTTAGTTTCTTAACTATCGAACGAGTTAAGAAAAATAAATGTTCACTTATGTTGTAAGATTAATGTAATCAAATAGAGCCTCGGATAGGGGAGCGTATTATTCTATAATTAATTATACAAAGTGAGACCCAAGCGTTTTTATGAACACACGGGAAAAGAAGAAATGTAAAAAGTGTTTACGCGAAAGATGGAATTGAAAAATTCATTCATTTTAAAACTGTTTATAACTTTCATCGGCTCTATGCGGGAAGATTATTTGTGGTACTTATTACAACTCAATTTTTTTTTTTTTAAATTGCGAATATTACAGTTATTTTCTTTTCTAAATTTATTTTTATTAAAAGATATTTATAACTTTTTATATTCTTCACAGTAAAAATTTTTAAATTATTTTTTATATAAAATTTTAATTATTTCTTCATATATTTTTATATTCTTCTTAGTAAAAATTTTTTAATTATTTTTTAAAGAAAATTTTAATAAATTTCTAACTATTTTTTCATATCTGACGTCATGGTAGGCGTCAACGCAACATTATCAAGTAAATTTATCATAATTAATTATTACTTACAATCTGTCATATTTTATCGTTCATATTTATAAACTTATTTGTTGTATATTTATAAAAAAATTTACACGTAATTTTTATAAATTTTAATTGTAAGATATAAGATATAAGAAATTTTTTTTTATTGCTAAAATCAATTAGAGTTATTAATAACCACTATTAACAACCACTTGAGAAAAATTATCTATTCGCTTACACTCGAAGATAAAATCTCCAATTTTTTTTAAACTCAAGATATATTTATAAATATTAATTTTATCTAATTAAATAAAAATAATTGTTGAGCAAATTTAAAAGAAGAAATAAATATTAACGTGGGAAAATTTTTAAATTATTTTTGATATAAAAAAAATCGCTTATAATAACCTCGTTAATAAAAATTATGTATACAATCCGAAGACTTAAAAGTATATGTTGATAAAAACTAGATTATATACAACAATAATTTATAATCCAAACACTGTTAAGAAATACTCTGTTTATTTTACATATCACTAAAAAAAAAATTAAATGTAAGCTTGAAAGAAAAAATTTTCCAAAGCATTTTTCAAATTTATATCGTCTAGACAATATATAAAAAATTTGACAGACAAAAATCCATATTTTGGTAGTTGCATATATGCATAGAGACATATCTTTCAATATCTAGCCCGTAGGTAGGCCATCGGGTAATTTTTGGGCGCAAAGTAGTATGTTACCATTTTCATGGACATTATATCGGCTCTCAAGTTACTTTTTATTACGGTCACGTCGCGCGGTTTTCTATGATTTCGGTGAGTTCTTGTTCATCCTCGAGGGAGGTCGGCGCCAGGACTACCCACAAAATCATATATATGTATGTTATTTTTTTCCAGATTTTTGGCGCCCGGAAATCTTTAAATTAACTAATTTTTTATGCCTGGTTAACTCTAGAAAAAATTATTTTAATATTAACAGCTAGAGTCATTTAATAATTGTTTAATATTGTTTTACACTATTGTATAAAAATTTTGTATTTACCTCCAAAGGTATACTTACAATCATTGTTAGAATTTAAAATTCTGGGCTAAATACACCGATAGAAGGATTTGTTTAATATATTTAATAAGCTTTATAATAGTTAATAAATCCTTCTATCAGTGTATAAAAAATACGGAAAAATTATAAGAGACCTTTTTTGTAGGAAATTAAATTCTCTCATTATCATATTGTCATATTTTGATATTTATCTCAAAATTTCAAGAAAATATTAAAAAATCAAAGTCCCATTTTTAATGAAAATGAAGTTAGCCGATATTTCAAAATTTTTAGAACTTTTTTATTGAAAAAATCTCAATTAAAAAACTTGCAATTAAAAAAGTGCAATTTTTTAGAAAAATCTTTTTAGTTGTAATTTAATTAAAAAAAAAAAATCAAAAATTTTTATACGGCTGATAACTTCAGTGTCATCATTTTTAATGTAAAAAATCAAAATTTTAAGTGAAAAATCAAAAATTTTTTTAAAATTGTAAGAGACCTTTTTTATAAGAAACTAAATTTTCTACAAAAAATATTTCTATCAATTTTATCATATTTTTAATATTTTGATCAGAATTGAAAAAAAAAAAAAACCTTCAGAATTTATAAATTAAAAATTTATTTGGTAATTTTTTATAAAGAAGAAAAAAAATTTTTAATATATTTTTAAATGTGATATTTAATGTTATATTAAAAAAAATTTCAAACAAATTGGTCCATTGGTTCTAAAAGAATTCATATAATTTTTTTGTAAAAAAGATTAATGATAAAAAAGGTGTAATTAAATTAAAAAAAAAAAAAAATATATATGATCTCAAGCGGAAGAAATGATATTATATATCGATAATTAGTTTTACATCGAATGTAACTTGCGGGAAGCATTAAATCATTTTCCACTCTAACTTGAGAGCAATTTGCTAATTGAATAAAAGTTGGAGCTGTTTTATGATTGCGTGGGTGAAGATAACTCCGCCTCTGGGCGGAGTTAACTTCTTAACAGCGACTCGGCCCACTGCTATTGGATCCAGATAACGCAACAAAAACTCAAAAATATACTTATGATCTTCTCTCATATTCATCTTTGCTGGTATGAGGTCTAATATCCATCCTGTTGAGGCATCGAGAATCAGTCTTAGTTTCGAGGCATCCAACATCGCGCACGCGTCTGATATCCTGTTTGTTAATTAATTATTTATTTATTTTTTAATTAATTAGTTGTATTTATTGATACTCACAGTGATGCTTAATGACTAAGTGTTGATTTATAAAAATTTCTTTGGAAAATTTATTGAAGTGATTTTAATTTGATATTTTGTTGAGTTTAGTGAAGTATATTTAAAAAAAATAAAAAAATTATTATGTTGGGTGAATATGAAAGTCATGCTGATTATTATTCACAATGGCATCAACCCTATCATTATTCCAGCCAAAGACCTTATGGTAATTACAGTTCTCCTATTATTTATTAGTAAATTAAAATTTTTCAATTTTTAAAAAGAGTTCTTGATGATACAAAATTTGTCAATTGCTAAAATTACTAAATAAATTTTTAAAGTAATTGCTCTAAATTAAATTTTCAAATTTTTGAGAACTTTTACTTGAATAAGGGAACTTTAACTTTATTCAAAATAAAAAAAATTTTAACCAAGAAGATGATGTGGCTAGAAATTCTAAATTTTTAGAAAAATAATAAACTAATTAATGGTTTGGCCTCAAAAACTTGTAGAAAATGCAACTACAATTCGATTTGTGTATAATGATCATTAGAAAAAAATTTCAGAGTCTATTGTAAATTATCTATATTATTAAGAAAGTAAGAAAAATTTTATTTCCAAGATATTCATATGATAAAATCGGTTTTTTTTTTTGGTGAAATCTAGTGTCATTGCAAAGGTATTTACTTGAATTAGTGCCTTTTCAAGATTTCATATCATTTTCACCGGTAGTCAATTTATGATGATGGATAATTAGGCTGTATTCAAAAATACTCTATCTCCAGACACATAATTAAGAAATGACCTTGTATCTTGTGAACTATTGACATTTTTAAAGATATAAGATCATTCCGATGTTACACTCATCAAGACCTTTCATTTGAGTACCCACATCAATTTTTCATATATTTTATATATTTATATATTCCACAAATACCATATATATAAAATATATAAAAATTGCCATGTGGGTACTTAAATGAAAGGTCTCGATGAGTGTAACATCGGGATGAGCTTATATCTTTAAAAATGTCAGTAATTAAGAAATGACATTGTGTCTTGTGAACTATTGACATTTTTTAAGATATAAGCTCATCCCGATGTTACACTCATCAAGATCTTTCATTTGAGTACCCACATTAATTTTTCATATATTTTATATATATTATATATTATATATATGTATATATGAAAAATATATGAAAAATGCATGTGGCTACTCAAATGAAAGGTCTTAATGAGTGTAACATTGAAATGAGCTTATATCTTTAAGAACTTCAATAATTAAGAAATGACACTGTATTTTATCAACTATTGACATTTTTAAAGATATAAGCTCACCCCGACATTACACTTTTCAAGACCTTTCATTTGAGTACCCATATCAATTTTTCATATATTTCATATATTTATATATATGTATAAATGAAAAATATATAAAAAATGCATGTGGGTACTCAAATGAAAGTTCTTGATGAGTGTAACATCATAATGAGCTTATATCTTTAAAAACTTCAATCGTTAAGAAAGTACAGTGCAATTTAACAAAAGTCATTATTTAATAAAGCAAAATTTATTTATTTATAGTTCACAAGTCACGGCACTCACATAGTGACTACAAAGTTGTTAGTTTTCTGTTAATCTTTGACCGCGGGGATATAATTTTGAAAATTTTAAATTTCTAAAACAATAATATTTTAATCAACTATTTGCCCGGCGCTTAAACACGGGATGTAATTTTAAAAATTATAAATTTTTTTTAAAATAATTAACTAATCAACTGTTTGGCCATAGACCCTTTTGTAGGATGCAAAAACAATTCAATTGATACATAATAATCATTAGAAATAAATTTATCAAGAGTTTTAAAGTCTAATGAAAATTCCTTAAAATAATCTTCTTGGTTAAAAATTTTTTTCTTGAATAAAATGAATTTTTTTTATAAAATATTCCTTCGCATAAAAAAAAATCTTTTCTTTAATTTTTTTAAAAGATTCCGTGGGATTATCCGACGTAGATCGACAGCAACTTTGCTGCGGAGGAGACTCAGGAATATCCGGCGGCAGTTCTGACGCCGGAAGTGGATCGGCATCGACACCTCCTCTGCCATTAGAAGAATTCGGGGGCCCGGATTCAATTTACGGCTCTCCAATTCAACACTATTCGCACTCGATACCTCAGCAACTGTATTCTTCAATGCACTACTCTCAGCAGCAATACCTAGACCAGCAAAATCATCAAAATTCAAGCCAGCAGAAGCTGGACCGACATATCGACTTCTCGATGTCAGTTACTCACCTCCAGAACCTCAATAATATGCCCGGAACAGGATCTACCGAGCACCTCCAGCTCAGCCTGCACCACCACATGAACTCAATCTCCCACGACAGCTCCTCGACTTTGATCATCAGGCCCAAAAGGAGGAACACCGCGAATAAAAAGGAAAGACGACGGACTCAAAGTATTAATAATGCGTTTGCTGACCTGAGAGATTGCATCCCAAATGTTCCGGCGGATACTAAGTTGTCCAAGATAAAAACTCTTAGATTAGCCGCTTCTTATATTGGATACCTGATGGCTGTTTTGGAGAGTGATAAAGAAGACGAGCCACAAACATTCCGCGCTGAAATTTTGTCCAGTGGAAAAAGAAGTAAATCTCAGCAAAATTCGGTAAGTATTTTGTTGTTTTTTTTTTTTTTAAATTAATTCAGCAGATTTTTGATAATTTTAATAATTTTTTTTTTTATAAATAAATTATGCCAAAAAAATGGACATGTAGAAATTTAAAAATAATTTTTTTTAATAAATTAGTTTGTTGAAAAAAAAATTATCAAGTGACTGCTAACTTTGAGGTCATTTTGTATTTTTAATACTTTGTTCTAAAAAAGAAAAAAATAAAAATTAGTTTAATTTTTCATGACACTAAACTTTGTAAATACTTCAAAATTTTTTGATTTTTTTTAACAAAAAAATTAATTTGAAGACATCCTTTTTAAACAATTGCATTCAAAAATTTTTATATTTTTTTTTTGATGTAATATTTTTGAGTATAAATAATTTTGAGCATAAACTAATTTAAGATAAAAAAAATCTTGAACGAGGAAAATTATTCCTGCTTGATTAAAAATTACCCTACCCTTCAAAATGATGTTTAAAATTTATTATCATAAATTATAAACTACTGAGAAATATTTATAAATATTAATAGAAAAATTCCTTAACAACAAATACAAACATCAGAAAAATTTCAATGTCCCAAACATTTTAGATTAAAATGCTAATTATTATTTTAAACTACAAATTCTTTTTTTTTTTTAAGTCAGTTATAGATAAATCATTGAAATAAGTATTTTAAATTTACTTTCGGGGTCTTTATAATTGAACCATTTCATACAGTAGTTTTCAGTTGGATTTTCCGTCTGGCGCCTCATTTTGTTCCAGACACTTCAAAATTTTATGATCTTTCAACAACATTAAATTGAAAAATTAAATATTATTTCATCTATAAAAATTCAAAATATTCTTAAGTATTTTTTTTTCCATTTATTAGAATTAAAAAAAAAAATCATTTGTGAAATACTTATTTTAAAAGTATTTTTATTATTGAAAGTTACTTATTTGTTATAAGAATTAAAAAAATTGACAACTGTCAGCTAGCTTCACTATCATCAGTTAAACTAAAATAAAAAATTTGCATTAGTAATAGTAATAATTTAAAATTGTTTTCAATAAATTAATCAAGCAGATATTCAATAATTTTAAGAATTTTGGTGACCAATAAATTATTGAAAAAAGAATTGCAATTTTTTAAAAATAATTTTTTCGGAACAAATGGCCAAGTGACTGCTAACTATAAAGTCATATAAATTATTTAATATTTACATACCTCAATAAAAATTTAATTATTAAATAATTATTCTACAAAAATATTTATCTAACCTGATTTTATTTTTTTTTGTAATTTCAGAATGACTCGTATCAAAACATAAGCAATTTTTATGAAGAAACGTCAAAGTGTAAAGGAAGAACTGGATGGCCTCAGCACATGTGGGCACAAGAATTGAAGCAAGAATCTTCATCAACCACGACGTCGGCGTCTTTAACAGTCAGTCAGTTACAATAGAATCTTTTCATTCAGAATAGAATATCTATAGTTCTAAGAGGGATATGTTTAATCCATAGTTTTTAAAAAAGTACATATATATACAATCAAATACACTTGTCTACATACATAATATATGTATATAAATATCAAAGAAAATTTTTTTTAAATTTAAGTCTGTAAATAATGTATTGTACGTTTTCTTCTTTTTTTTTTTTTGTTATATATTGCGAATTATGAGATTGATTAAATTGAAGATTTATGCTGGCATTTACTAGCAAGTATTATATATAATTTTGCAGCTGTATTTTATTATATATTTTTTTTTAATTATGCCAAAATTTAGTATTTAAAAACTTCAGAAGTAATTAATAAAATTGATAAAAAAAAATTTATTTGATTTAAAAAAAAAATTTTTTAATAAAAAAAATTATCTTCAAAATTAAAAGTTGAAATTTTAAAAAGTTTTTTAAAAATTTGTAATTTTTTATTTAAAGAATTTTTCTCTTAAATTAAATTAATTTTTTTTATCAATATACCAGTAGAATAAAAAGTCATTGTAAAAAGTAATACACTAGTTCTTTAAATAAAATAAAATAAAACTTTAAAACTATTAATTTATTTTTGGTTTTCTTTACTAATCCCCATTTGAAATTTAAAACGAAAGAATTTTTTATAAAGAAGAAATAAAATATAAAATTCTTTTGAGTTAGCAGGTACTTCAGTAATAAGTGGAAGTATCCTATGAGAAACACTTTTTTTGTTAAGTAATATCACAAAAAAATTCAAAGCCGCTCTGAAATCTAAATACTTTATTATCACAGTAAGTAATATGTACGTAATTCCAGTTATTGATTTAATGTTTCTTCTATTCCGACTTTATTTAGTTTTAAAAATCTAATTTTGGAGTAAAGTTGTGAATAATTGGGAAGTTTTATCAACCCGTCGGCTCGGTAAGCGGATTTTTTAACTTTCGTTGCGTAAAATACATTTTTAGGGGTAGTTTTTTCTTTTTTTATTCAAAGCTTTTCTTGTTTATATTGTAAATTATGAATGATGACTACTGGTAAGGCTGGAATGACCTTACTGAGGTCCCGGGGCGTGTCTAATGTATGAATTTATGCCTATGCATGTAAATAGTGAGTGATTTAATATTTAAATGCATTGCGCGACAGTAAATTTTGATAAAATATTTACAATTGTTACAATAAAAATTTCTGTTACATAATATGTATAAATTTTCCTTTTTTCTTCTTTTTTTTTGTAATAAAATTTAAATATTACATATTTTATATGTAAATTATAATTATTATAAATTTACACAGTAAATATATAAAAGTAATTTAAATTATTTATTACACATAATCAAAATTAATTATTTTAGTCAAAAAAAAAGAAGAAATATAAAAATTACAAATAAAAAAATATTTTTTAGTACAAAATTAATTAAATCTCATTTTTCATAGTCTCAAAAAAATTTTTTTAAATATTTTTTCAACCCTAGAAGCTTATTATTTATTTTAACATTATTAAAATCAATTATTTTAGTCACAAAAAGAAGAAATATAAAAATTACGAATAAAAAATTTTTTTTTGGTATAAAATTATTTAAATCTGATTTTTGATAGTCTCAAAAAAATTTTTTTACACAGAATTCTTTTAAATTATTCAAAAAAATTTTTTTAATACTATTCTTCAACCTCAGAAGTTTATCATTTATTGTAACATTATTAAAATCAATTATTTTAGTTACAAAAAGAAGAAATATAAGAATTTTTTTTTATATAAAATTATTTAAATTTGATTTTTGGTAATATCAAAAACAAATTATTTTTACTATTTCTTCAACCCAGAAGCTTATTTTAATAAAAATAACTAAAAATAAAATAATGACCTTTTTATTAATAAAATGAACCTCAATTTACACAATAGTGATTGAGTAATAAAGAGTAGGTATATGTATAGATATTAAACAAACAGAGTGGCTTGAAATGTAATTCAATCAGAAGATTCACTGGAACTACACACCACACATGGCGTGAAACCCACCGGGAAAATGTTATATAATAGTGTTCTGGTGGTGACGTTGTTAGGGGTGTTGTATAAAAGAAATGACATTATCTACCCTTAATTTTCACAGCTTAATCGGTTGATCTCAAACCCCTTTGTACATTATTCCCACTCAAATAACCATTATACTTGGCAATCGAGAGTCAATATCTTACACTATACATTAATTATTACACAAAAAAAATTAAATTCTTCTTAAATTAAAAGAAGAAATAAAAATTTTTAAATTCACAATTTAATTGAATTTTTATAAAAAAAAATTTTTTAAAGGCATATATTAGTAAATTATTCTGAAAAAAAGATACGTGGGAACTACTTGAACACAGATGCATCTTCTCGACACTTACACGATACTTAAAGAAGGTTTAAAAAAAATTATGACGGCTTATTTACTTTTATTCGAGCATTAAACCTCTATGAAACTTTTAGGTCTCTAAAAAAGCCATCAATAAATATATCAAAAGACGTTTCTTTGCTTACGCATATAAATTTACTTTTAGTTTAAAATTGCTAGCCCAAAGAGATTTCATTAACTGATATCAACGCTTTTTAGTTGATTTTTTGCTCAATATTTCTTCACGACTATTATAAATTATAAATTCACCCTTGTAATTAATTAATTAATTACAAACCGCAATTACTTTTTTATTGTAAAATTAATCCTTAATTTTGATGACATTAAAATTAGCAGTCTCTTCATCATTTTTTTAACAAATTTCTTCTCAAAAATTATTTTTAAAAAATTGCATTTTTTTTTATTTTTTTAAATTTCTATTTTAATTTTTTTTGCTATAATTTATTTGTTAAAAAAATTATCAAATTAATTTTCATTTCTGAAAAAATAAATAAACATTAAAAATGCGAAAACATGGCTGACCTATAATTAAATCTTATTATCTCAATAAATATTTACTGAATTAATATGACTAGTAGAAAGCATTAATCACCTATCTCTTTGCACTTAATAACAATGAATAATAAATAAATGAATCTGAAATGTTATTGTCATGACGTCAGTTTATATATTTAAATGTAAATATATATATATGTAAAACGCATTTCATTGACATATCAAGGATTCAACAGAGACTTGATCCCCGAAATTAAATCTTTAGAGTGACAACTTTAACTCGGAACTGATAGTTGGGTGGGCAAACACACCCCGACGTTCATCCATTACACAGTATGAGGTAAATCTCCTTACAACTAAAATAACAGCGCCAAGCTCAAACACATAACCTTCGATTAATAATCAAATGTAAAGAAGAAAACAACAATTAATGAAACAAAGCTAATTATTTATGATTTTTCAATCAGCTTATATTAGAAAAATTACTATTACCCACATGCATTATTGATATATTTTTCATATATACATATATATAATATATATAAATATATGAAAAATTGATGTGGCTACTTAAATGAAAGGTCTTGATAAGTGTAATATCAGGATGAGCTTATATCTCTAAAAATGTCAATAGTTCACAAGATATTTGTTAAATTGCACTGTAATTTTTTAAATATTGAAGTTTTTAAAGATATCAGCTCATCCTGATGTTACACTCATCAAGAGCTTTCATTTGAGTACTCACATGCATTTTTTATATATTTTTGATATATACATATTTATAATATATATAAATATATAAAATATATAAAAAATTGATGTGGGTACTCAAATGAAAGGTCTTGATGAGTGTAACATCGGGATGAGCTTATATCTTTAAAAATGTCAACATCTCACAAGATAAAAGGTCATTTCTTAATTATGTACCTAAAGATTCCACATCTAGAATTTTTTAAGCAAACTTTTTAAAAATGATTTTTTATAAAAACTTAAAAAATTATAAGAAGTCAGCTAATTTCAAAATTATTAATTATCTCAAATTTTTCTATGTAAAATTTCATATTATAATTTTTTGACACTAATCAACTTGTCACAAAAATAGACAACTGTTAATTTCACATTCAAAATTATCAACCGGGTAATTAAATAATCGAGTAATTAATTTTAATATTCCCATACGATACCTTTAACGATTTATTAAAACATCTCTTAAATTTCCCTTAAAGTGTAGGAGTATATCCGAGCTATTCTAGTCGCTGAATTTACTCAGAAGGCCTCGGGGATTCATTGAGTATGGAGGATTGTAAGTCTCAATAAAATGGAGACAAATCACCAGCTTGTCGAAATTGCACGCGGGTGGTATTTCCAATCTTTTATACGGCTCGCTGGCTTTTCCCCTGGAAACAAAACAAGGACACCAAGAGCGGCGGAAAAAGAAAAAGGATTAGTTTAACAAACACAAGGATAAAGTAAGGCAGGAACGTGAATAACCTCTGGGATTTCGCACGTGTTTTATAAATCACCTCACCCCCAAGGAGCTTGACTATAAAACCTGGATTCTCTGGCAATCCAGTATCACTTGTCCGAAAGCGTTGTGACTAGAGAGACTAAGATGTCTTCTCTCAGATTAAATGTCAGTTTTGGTGCCGGGATTCTCTTATTGATAATTATTGTTAATCAAGTGTCTTGTGATGACGGTACGTCGATAAATAATTCCCTTAAATTCGGAAAAATAAAAATTAAAAATTAGTTTTACTAACAGTGTGTGTTTTTCAGGAAACAACCTTGTCAAAAACGGTGAATCAGGTTCTCAATGCGCGGAACAAAAGGATTGCTTGTTACTGTGGTTTGGACCAAGACTTGGACGTCGACGTAGATCTGGAGCTGTGTCTCAGGTTAACGACGACATTAACACCATCACAGACGTCATCAATGCTAATCCTTGGGCTTTTGCTTCTTATCATGGTTAAATTTTTTTTATTAACTTCAAAACAGTGCTTGTGTAATTATTATTATGACAAGATACTGAAATTATAAATTTTTTAACAATTAAATTTATTAAAAAATAAAACTAAATAAATTAATTAATTATTAATAAATTAATTTAAAAAAAATTAATAAAAAAAAATGTAATTAAAAAATTCCGAATGTGAAAATTTTAAAAAATAATTAGTAGAAATTTTTTATTGTAATTTATTTGTTATAAGAATTTGTAAAATTGATAGTTAAGAGCTGACTTTAGTGTAATTATTATAAATTATGACCAAAATATTTTGGCTTGTTCCAGGAACAGGAGACAAAAGACACTCGACCCAGTTCACTCCGAGACTAGGTCGAGAGCTAGAGGACACCTTGATCCAGAGATATTTAACGCTTGACAAAGATAACGATTTATATCACCTGATGGACGGCCAGAATGTTGATCAAAACCAGCAACTGTCTCTTCCTCCACCGCCTTTGTTCGCACCACGTCTAGGTCGTCAGCTACCCTTAAACTCGCCTCGGTTGAGACAACTACTTCAGAATCTACGCAACTTTTAAATTATTATACAATTTTTTTGTTAATTTCTTCTCTCTTTCACTATTTATTGTTTTATCTGAAATCATAAATGTATTAGTGTAACCAAAGATAAATAAATTAATATATTTAAATTTTTTTTGTGTTTTTATTTTATCCATTAGATCTTATTGCGAAGAAATTGACATTAGCTTCAATAATTAAACAAAATGGAAGCGATGGCGGCCATTTTGTTGAAATGTATTTACAATTTGAAATTTTAGCAGAATTAAATTTTTTTTATTTAATTTAAAAGCTGATTAAATTGTCGACTGTTGAAAGAGATTAAGCTTTTAAGTGTGATTTTTTGGAAAGAAATATTAAAATTAATTTTTTAATTTTTTAAGTATCATTATTCATGACAAAATGGCGGATAAAAAGTTGATTAATGATGTAGCAATTTTGCAAAAAAAAAATCTTCTCTTCTTTAAAGGTCAAAGTTATTAAAATTGCTGGACATATAAATGTCATTGAACGAAAGTGTCCTTTTCATATAAGACACATCAATCAGATAGCTGTCTATCTTCATTGATGTAGCTCGCCTACGAAATTTATTAAAATGTATTATAGTTTCATAGATTTCTTCTAAAAAAAAACGCTCTTTTTTTCTATTTTTATTTAATTTTTTTCTAATTACTGTACAAGTGCACTGAGAAGAACAAATTTCTTTTTAAAAAAGTGAACATTTTTATAAGAAGAAATTAATTTGTTGGAAATTTTAAACAATTTTATTTTTTAATTGAAGAAATAATAATTTTTCTCACAATAATTTTCTTATTAGAACAAAATTTTTAAAAATTTGGGAAAAAGCAATTATGGATAAAAATTTTTTTCCAACAAGAAAATTACTGTAAGAAAAATTTTTATTTCTTCATCTAAGAAATAAAATTATTAAAAAATTGCCCATATTTTTAAAAATAATTTTTTTCTCTGTATAAAACAGAGATAGTACGTTTTTTTTCTCAATGAATACAAATAGAGCAACAAATTAAGGACTATGTAGGTCGAGAAAAAAATGGCGACAAACCATTAATTTTCCGCGATTACGCACACAAAACTTAAAATCTTTGTATTTTACACTCACGCTAAGACCCCTTCTGAAGCTTTTTCCCTAAGAAGAAAATAGAAAGAGATTAGTATTACAAATCGATGACAGATTTTACACTATGAATAAAACAGGATCATTAATAATTTTTAGAGTTCACGTGTGTTAACAAATCACCACAACCCTCGAGTTTTCTATAAAACCTACATGTCCAACGTGTTCCAGTATCACTTGTCCCAGGTACTTGAGTGTCACTCGTTCAAAAAATTCCCCGGCTAAAATAATGTCTTCCTTATTTGAGGCAGTTATCAATTTCAGTGTCCTGTTTTGGATAATTACGGTTGATCAAGTGTCTTGTGATGATGGTATGTTTTGAAATTGTTGTTCTAAAATTTTAAAAAATAATAATTTATTCTTTAACAATAATACTAAAATTTTTTTTATTTTCTTAACAGATAAATTATAGCAAGAAAAATTTACAAAAAAATTTTTATCTTGAGCTCTTAAAAATTATCAATGCAATTTTTTTTAAATAATTTTCTGGAGCTAATTTTTTAAATTACAAAATTATTAAGTGTCATTTTTTATTTTTAACTGTGAGTGTTTTTTAGGTGAGCTTCTTTTTGGAATAAGTGAGTGCGAAAAGACAGGAAGGTGTCCAACACGTCACGGACCGATGACTGGTAGGTCTGTATCAATTCAAGTTAACAATCAAATTAACACGCTAACTAACGCTAAGGATTCGAACCCTGGAATGCTCTTTTTTTTTCGTGGTAAGTTTTTCTTCTTTTGACACTTTTTTAATACTTTATTATTATAATTGCGGAAAAAAGTAATTTA